TGTATATGGCTTTGATATTTCATATTAAGTAATTTATGTCTATAGGATGTGATAGATTAATTTTTCTATAGGTTGCTTTTGTTGTAGAAAAGAAAAACATAAACAATCTAAAAAATGAGCTCACTTGGGTGTTAATATCATCAGGAGAGGCCTTTCTCTTGGTCCTACCACCTTCACAGGTGGGTTTGATGGGGACACAGGAGAGGGGCTTCTCTGTTTCTGCTCACAGACTTTGGAACTCCATCTCACAGGACGTTAGACTGGCCCCATCTTTGCTGTCCTTCCACAAACAAGCAAAGACGTTTCTCCTCAGCCAAGCTTTCCCTCAGTGACTGGCTGCCAGAGTGTGACTTTCAGATGGATTGTTATGCATTACTGCTCTGGGTCTTTAGTACTACTTGTGTTTACAATTTCTCAGAGTACTATTTATTTGTTCCTTTTAAAGATTTTTATACTTACTGTTTTAGCTTTAAATATTGTATATGTTTTCAGTTTTAAATATTATCTTTCAGTTTTTCTTTTATTTCTCCTGATGTAAGCCGTCTTGGGTCCTTTTTAAGAAAAAGTGGGGAAAAGAAGTTTTTAATAAAATTAAATAAATTTTAACAATGGCATAAATACAGGTCCCACAATCAGTGGCAGTACAGCTCTTACGCATATTTTAGACACATTGTTGGTGTTCTTGTTAAAATCTTTTAGAAAAGTGGAAAATATTGAATACAACTTTTTGAAGCCATGTTTAGTAGGCTACTTGCCAAGTTGAATTTGTTGTATTTATGATGTTTTAAATCAAGACTTAGATGGTATTGTCTGTCCTGTATGCGAATTAATGTTGCTTCCAGCTGAGCTGAAGAACAGATTATTAGATCAGCATGGATCTTGTGTCTGTACAATGAACATTTCAGGTCAGCTGCCAAAGTAGCTTCAAACCTGATTTTGGGATTTAAAAGATTTTAATGCTATGGACAGCATTTCTTTTTTTATTTATAACCATCTTTAAACAGTCTGATTAATTAGACAAACTAATTGGACCACATCAGGAATTGTTTCCCATTTTCAACATTGCAGTTCATATGATCTACAGTTATCTTCAGGCTGCTGCCTGCCAAACAGACAAGTTGAAAAGCCAAGTGTTCATGATCAGTTCAGGAGGCGAGCAGAAGAATCAAAGCCCAAAAGCCAGCCACTTGCAGGGTAGCAAGCAACAAATAGTGCTGAAGATGAGCCAAGTCAGGGTGCAAGAAATCCAGTAGCAATGCTTGCTCTTTCCAGCAAAGAATCTCAGATTCAGAAAGCTCTGCATACTCATTGATCTGCACCCCCTCCTCACTTTAGCAGCATCTACTCTGACTGCAGTTGTTGGACCTTCTCACTGGGAGCTTCTGCTGACTCTGCCTTTGCTTTACAACACCTTGAGCTGTTGGTGTTCTCTAGAGTAGAGGGCTTTTTCCCCTGCCCACAGCTGAGAATCTGTACCTGTCTCCTCTGGCTAGGCTGAAACCTTCAGGTCCTGTTCATCTGAGGAGGAGGGCTTGAGACTAGTAAGGTATAACATCTGCCTCCTTGAGTGATGCAGCATATTTTTAATTACAACAACTTTTATTATCCATATGGAGACTGTCAGTCTTGCATGTCTCAGCTCTCTGCTGGTTTAAAACCATTTGCTGAAATCCTTTCTGTGCAGAGATAATATAATGCTACACTCATTTAAATTTGCCAGGTGTTTGAATTGTGGTGCTGGAGGAAACTCTTGAGAGTCCCCTGGATTGCAAGGAAAACAAACTTATCCATTCTGAAGGAAATCAACCCTGAGTGCTCACTGGAAGGACAGATCCTGAAGCTATCCAATACTTTGGCCATCTGAAGAAAAGAGAAGACTCCTTGGAAAAGACCCTGATGTTGGGAAAGTGTGAAGGCAGGAGGAGAAGGGGCCAACAGAGGATGAGATGGTTGGATCATGTCACCAAAGCTACCAACATGAATTTGACGAAACTCCGTGAGGCAGTGGAAGACGGGAGGGCCTGGCGTGCTCTGGTCCATGGGGTCACAAAGAGTCGGACACGACTTAACGACTAAATAACAACAAAAATATTAAGGCAGTAAGAAATTGCACAATTTGATTGAACAATCAGTTGCACAATTTCCACTGCAACTGTTGATCAATGTCCTGGCAGAAGTGCTTCATGGATAGCACTTCTGCCTTGGTACTGTTCTAGCTACTCTGGGTGTTAACATCAGGTTGCACCTATGTAGCTAAAGTCGAGGATTTCAGCCGTTCATTGCATCTTCAGAGAAATTGAAACAAACTATCATATTCTATAAATGCCTGTTACTGGTATTAAGCACTACATTTGATGCTATTGAAATGAGAATGGAGGGAACAAAGAATTACTGGACGAAGCAATACATGTTAATGTGAAGGCAAGCTGATGGCAAGTGAGCTGTCCTCACTGATAGAGTCTTCAAAGGAGGAAAGAGAAATCAGTAAGCGTGAGATAGAGAAGACAGGGGGACCTCTGGTAGAGGAGAAACGAAGCATAGAGTTTTGTTTAGTGGAGGAAGTAGAAGGAAGAAAAGGGGAGGAGCAAAAACTCTCAATATGGGAGGAAGGTATAAAAGAAGGGGGAGAGAGGAGGTTCAGGGGCAGACAAGAGATAGATGGAAAGGAAATAAAACCAGAAGGGAAAAGAGGGAGTGAGGAATATGAGAAAGTGCGGGACTCGTTGAAAGACTTTCCAAATTTAAAAGTTGGAGGTTTGCTGCCTGACCCTGAGACGAGGAGAGAAGGAGAAACCTCATTTGAAATGCAGGAATGGACGGTGATTGTCTTCCTACAGGGACAAGGACGCGGGGAGAAAGTAATTCACCCAGATGTAACATACAACACTCCACCAAAAGAAGGCAACTGGGCTCGTCATCCATGTTGTGGAACTGTCTGTGCGATGTGGAGCGCTCCCCTGCGGAATATTACGGATTGCGAGCAGTTTGGTCCAGCCCCACAATGAACAATCCCCGATCACAGGAACAATCAATGTTATGCAGTTATGGACAGTTACCGCACCTGTCATGTTTTGATCCTGTTGGTGTCACAGTTGAAACACCACAAGTTTATAAAGTTGGTGTTGAGAATGTTTTAAAAAGGTCTCCGTCTCTTTTTCCCACCAAAATGGAGGAACTGCCACAATTTTCAAAAGAACCCAGTTATATTAACCAATGGAAATCTGCCTTAGCTTTAATATCTAAAATCCCTTTAGATCAAAAACTGTACCGTGGTGCCTCGACTTATGACCATAATCCGTTCCAGAAGATAGATGTAACTCGAAATGGTCGTAAGTCGAAGCACCATTTCCCATAGGAATGCATTGAAATGCAATTAATCCATTCCAGCTGAAGAAAAAAAAAATCACACACACACACCCAAAATCACTACAAGACTCATTGGAAATGCAATTAATCACTTCTGGCTGAAGTGGGGAAGGGAGAAAAGCAATCAAGCGTTCAAGACCCATTGGAAATGCACAGAAAAACAAATGGAGCAGATCGGAAGTGCACAGAGAACAAAGTGGGCAGGTTGGAAATGCAAAGAAAACAAAGGAAAAAGCAAGGGAAGCATGCAGGACCCATTGGAAATGGGGGAAAACCCCAAAAGCAACCAAACCCCCCAAGACCATCGGAAATAGGGGGGGGAACCAACCAACCAACAAGCCCCCCAAGACCCTTCGGAAACGGGAAAAAACATTCCAGAAAGTAACAACCCTTCCCAAGACCCTTCGGAAATGGGGGAAAAGCCCCCGAAAAACAAACAACCCCCCAAGACCCATCACAGCACAGAAACATAACCCCCCTCAGCTCAAAACCATGCTTGAAAAACACCCAGAACAGTTTTTAAAAAGCAGAAAACAGCACCTTACCTTACCAGGCAGCCCGAAGCCTCCCTGTAAACACACATACATGCTCACTCAGAAGCAGAAGGAGTCCAAAGCCACCTCCGATCACATAATCTCTAACGGCTGGGGCGAAAGAGCTATAAAGAAGCAGCCTCGTCACCACCTATAGTTAGAAATTTGAATTTCCCGCCTTTTTCCCCTGCCTTTTTCTGTTCGTAACCAAAATTTTGCTGCCGGAGCTGGTTGTAACTTGAAATGGTCGTAGGTCGAGACATTCGTAAGTCAAGGCACCACTGTAATTTTTTCAGGAAAGACTGGTGTTGCAGACATAGGGCTGCCTCTTTTTTATTATTTATTTAAAAAGAAATTAGCCACTTCAGCTAAAGTGGCTAATATCTGTCACTGCAGCACACATCATGCTTCTTTGAATTATATAATGAAGGAATAGAAATAGTGGTGCATTTTCAGTTGGATGTATTCCAGCAAATTAATTCTGTATTAGAATAAATTGTAACTATGTCTGTACTTTTAAGCTGCACTCCTGAATTTTGGAATTTAACTGATGGTCAGCATGATTGGATTTAAGGATATCTTAACATTACCAAAAGACTTATATTTCAAGGCTGTAAAGAGTAAACATATGCCGTCAATCAATGGGCAGAGAGGGTCTTAATACTACATGTGAATATTTATTTTATTGACAGCAACTCCAGATGAATTATTTATTGACAGCAACTCCAGATGAACAGTTTTTTGGACATATGTTCAGATTGCATTAACGTATATGTTTAGCCTTATGATTATGTTTCCTATATTCTTTATTCTTTCCCCCATACCTCCTTTTCTTTATTTGGTTTGATTTGTTTTTAAAGCTGCAGTTAACTGTAGCAAGTTATGCAGACTTCATGCAAACACATGATTCCAACCAGTGAGACTGGTTTTGTGTAGAGTGAGGAGTGTATTCTAACTCAGCTTTTATTTTAACACACTGCTAAAATTTATAATACTATGCAAAGTATTCTGTCTAGTGAAGAAAGTCGTACCAGTCTTTTTATGTAGCTTCACAACTTTGCAGCATAACATCTCATGTTTTTAATATATATATATATTTAGATGACAGTGCTTCTGCTGCAAGTAGCATGGAGGTGACAGACCGCATTGCTTCATTGGAGCAACGTGTTCAGATGCAGGAAGATGACATCCAGCTGCTCAAATCAGCTCTGGCAGATGTAGTTAGGCGCTTGAATATTACTGAGGAGCAACAGGCCATGCAGAACAAAAAAGGACCTACCAAAGGTACTGATTTTCAAATATTATTTAAACTTGCATAGTACTGTTAAATGTAGGCCAATTTTATCTATCTATCTATCTATCTATCTATCTATCTATCTATCTATCTATCTATCTATCTATCTATCGCCTGAAGACACTTTATGTTCTAACCTTCTCTCTGTGTTGTATAGTAATCGAACAGGTAATTTGACTTGGAAATGTTTAACATGCACGGACTAGGAAAGCGTTTATTTTTCTGAGCTATTGGACATAGCCCTATAGCGTATGGGGAAGAATATTTGCTAAGCATTTCATGTAAAGGAAATTTTGTATTTAGGATTATGATTATATTGAAGATTGATTATATTCTGTATCCTTTTTTATAGCTAGAAGGATGTGGAACAAACTTTTTACTCTCCTGAAAACCCAGGATATATTTTAGGATATGTCTTCTGAAAGTAAATATTTCTGAATAGATCATATAGGAGAATCCCTTACTCAAGAAATCTCATTAGATTACATTCCATGCATATTATGTGCATTAAGAATCTGTTCAGTTTAACATCTAATAAGTTTAGAATCCAGTGAATTTAGCAGGAAATGAGCTAGTTAACTGATCATTGGCAATCTGAATGTTTACTCTGTGGCCAAACCAGGCCACTCAGTGCAAAACACTATGTTTGAGCTGAACAGACTAAGTTCCAGGTAGGATTAAGTTTGTTGTATACAGCTCCAAAGACTGAAAGAAATCAGGGCCTAAACCTTACTTTGGTAGTTAGGATTCAAGGCAGATATTGATACATTAATAGAAAACACTTTAAATTGTAAATCTTAATGAATCTGGGGAGTGCTAAAATGGTGAAAGCTATCCTTAAAGCATGATATGAAACAAACTGTAAAGTTTATTTATTTATTTATTTATTT